ACTAAGAATCGAATATCCTAATAAGGTTTTATACCTTGTATAGCGCATCAAATGAACTTAGTTGTTGGTAATATTTTTAAAGAATCTGATGCATATAAGAAAATATTGAAAAATGCAATACGTATTGTAAGCTATTTTTATTCATCTCCCTATTTTACCGAGTTATTATGAGATGAGCAAAGATCATATTATAGATAAACCATCTCTCTTATTTCCTCAGCCGAGACACACTAAAACAGTATTTACTTTTGTTTTTATTCTATATTGAAAACTGAGGCTGCGTTTAAGGTAGCATATTTTATAGTAAATTAAATTTTTTTTACAAAGAAAATTTTGGCGCCAATTATGAAATATTAAAAAATTCTAATAAAAATTTTATTTAATTAGACATTGGCAACAAAATTTTCACCCACTAGAATCAGATTGGCTAGTATTTCTCAGAGTGGACTTTCGCAGCAACGATTTATAACAAAAAATTTTAATACAAGCAAAATGCTTCCACCTGATATTATTTCAATTATGCAAAATTCTAATTTTTGGAGTCAACTTTATGAACTTCAGGATTTACTATATCCTTTGTGCTGTATACTAAATAAACTCCAGAAAGATGTTGCAAAACTGTATGAGATTGTATATTGTTTTGGATAGCTTATTAAGGTTTTTTAAACCTTAAAGATGAAAATTTTGCAAATCATATGGTCACCTAATTAGAAAATCAGTAGGCTCAATGAGAACAGCCACTACTCTTACTATCATTTGTTTTACATCTGAAATATCAGCTCTCCAAGTTTTCTTCTTGCATTTCTGGCCTTTTCTATACACATTTTAGTCAATAGTTGTATTATTATTACCATGTATGGTTCGAGAAAGTACTAATACACATTTTACGTGAATTTTTGTTATATCAGAGAGAAGCATTTCCTTTTAATAAAGAGACTTACAACCAGTTTGATGAAAATATTATTGATTTTTGGAATTCAACAAAGGGTGTTGCACCAGAATTGTCTTATCTAGCCTTACAATTATTTGGAATATGCATTAATTCAGCTTCAGTTGAAAGGTTATGATCAACTATGGATTTTTTGCATACGAACCACCGAAATCGTTTACCGGTATGTACAAATATTTATTTTATTTTATTTTTTTATAGTATATAGTATTAATTTAAATTCTTTATTTTAAGTATGAAAAAGTGCTAGCAATGAGCCAATTGCATAGTAATATACTAAGCAAGTAAAAATGTAGTAACATTGAAATATCTAAATGACAATATAAAAGAATTTACATTGTAGTTCCTATTCGATCTCAGGATGATAATGAAGATTTTATGCAAGAATTGGAAAAATTAACTATAAGTGATAGCAAAATCTGTTTACCAACCACTAATAATCTGTCAAATAAAGTAATCGAAGCGACTGAAGCAACCAAAGTGACCGAAGCAACTAAAATGATTGAAGAAGACATAGTCGATAAGGCTGAAACTTCTGATAAAGAAGAAAATTAGTCAAATGTAATTAAAAACTAGGTTGGAATATTAGACAGTGAAAATCAGTTAGAGAATGGTGAAATTGTAAATGATGAACTACCTGAATTTGAATTTGATAAGCGTACTACTCACCCAGCAGATGATTCATTAGCAAAATAGAATTTGCTAGAATTATTTAATAATTCATTAGATTTGTCTATTTCTTTTGTCCTTCAATAAATTTAATTAAATGTAATAAAGTTTATATTGGCATTAAAAATCGTAGGAGTTTTGAAAATTTTAGCAGTTAAATAAAATAAAGTGCTTTAAGGGCTGTAACAGATATTATGTAATATCTATTTACTATAAGGGTATACCCTCCCTCACATAAGATGATAACTCTGATTGGTAGACAAAATAAATATAATGCAGCTCTGTAAAGATATATAATCTTATCAAATTTTATGATATTTTATGATTTAGTGATCAAAACTCGATGATTTGGTACCATTTAATTCATCTCAATAAGATAGATCGAATAGTATCAAAATCATTGAGTTTTGATCACTGAATCACAAAATAATTGCATTTAAATAATTTTTATAAATATCTAAATAACTTGTCAACCAGTAGTCCAAATTTAATGATTTTCGTACCATTCGATTCTTCTCGATAAGACAATTCGCAGTGCAGTTCTTTACAGAACTAAATTTCTTTGTAAATATATAAAACTGTGTTGTAAAATATTTTTTGTGAATATCTTACAAACCAGTAATTTAATTTTAATAATTTTGGTACTATTCGAATTGTCTCATCGAGAGGAATCGAATGGTATCAAAATCGTTAAATTTGGACTACTGGTTGACAAGTTATTTAGATATTTTATAAAAATTATTTAAATACAATTATCTTGTGATCCAGTGGTCAAAACTCGATGATTTTGGTACTATTTGATCTGTTTCATTGAGATGAATCGAATGGTACCAAAATTGTTAAGTTTTAATTACTGAATCATAAGATATAAAATTTGCTAAGATTACATTATATATATAATTATATATATTATATATGTATAATGTAAGACTTTGGCTTACCCCCACCCCCCAAGATATTACGTAATATCTGTTATAGCCCTAACTTGACTTCAATTGATTTGGAAATAATTTATGCGCAGTACCTTAAATAATTGAAAAACAATTAGTATACAAAATTAAAAAACAATTAGCATACAAAATTGAAAACCAATTAGTATACAAAATTAAAAAACAATTAGTATACAAATTTATATTATGTACTATATAAATTATTACTTATTAGTTGTACTTACATATTTTAGTATGTGCAAAAAATCATTAGCACTGTGTAGATTTTTTTATTATACATAATTTCTAAATATGAATTCAGACTTGTTATACATACATACGTACATATGTATGACCTGCAGTCTAATAAAAAAGTTAATTCACGATTTTTCATAGGCATATTTGTATTAAATAACTAATCATATTTTTAATAGATAATTCAAATAACCATAACAGGTCATTGGGTTTTTGAAATGATCCAATGACTGGTCACTAATTATTTAAGTTATTTGGGTCATTTCAAGTCATTTACTATCACTAGTCTGGGGGTCAAGAGTTTCTATATAGAAGTATATAATATTATTTATAGATGCCTCTATATTAAAAAAGTAGATATATAAGTATCTCAATATACTATAACTTAAAGTTTAATTATTAAGCTTGACTTATATAACTATTTGCTTAGAACATAATCTGGGTTAAAAAAGTTTTTAACAGGATAAGAGCTCTAAGTGTTTTGCAGATCAAGTGTAGTATAATTTAAATTTTGGCCTATACTATATTGATTTTTTTTTTTTTATATATATTAAGATAAGGTCACGCCTTTGGTTTTTATTAATATATAGCTTCGACAATTACAATTACATATACATATACATTAACTTTATGAACTACAGAGACTTAGACTAATTTATCTATGATCTAAACCTACTAGAGTGGTCCATATCCCACATATATATCACTTAGCTTTGTGCTTCTCAACTAACCATTTTTAGTAACTGCATATTCCCCCATATCTCACATGACCAGCTATAACTTCTAAGTTGATACGTTAGGTATTCGCTCCTAATGAGCTTTTAAATTAGTATATCTGCAAACACGATCTACTGCAAATTTCCTAATAGATCCTATTAGTACAACTGTAATTAGTGCAGGTGACCTTTCTATAGCCTCATATCTCAAGCCAGGAACTTGCTGTCTAATTAGGTTCACTATATAAAAGAGTTGGTATTATATTGCCAGATATGCTAATTGGCAGGAACCCTTCCACTTATCTGCTCAGGTACTACTAATCCATATCTCAAGCCAAGCCCTGCTGCCGCTACTGGTTTGTTACTCCAGAACTTAATGTTCTTTTTCTGGTATAGTGATACCAACTAATCCATTTGTACTTCCTTATATAGTGTATTACCAGAACCATATTTTGTAAGATCAAGGTAAGTCCGGGTCCTACTTTTAGCTATAGACCTTGTATCATATTACTAGGAGGCATATTTCAATTCACATTAACTTCTAACTTGGACTCTTATCTATTGGTTAGTGTTGCATTATCGTTGATATATTTTGGCTTCTTTCATCATTAACTTTCATATAGGTATGACCAGAGCTCTGACTTGGTGCCTTTAGATGTACTAGATTAGC